ATCAAATTGGAATATTGAAATATTTGTTTAGTGGCCAAGTGTGATTGGGCACACAAGGAATTTATCTCTAGTGCATAAGCTCTCAATGTACATACAAACAATGCGATAATTCATAAATCATAAATCATAGGATGCAATCATAAATCATAAGATACGAACAAGTGATCAATCATAAGATACCAATAGGAGAAGGTATTATGGAAGATGAGAAGGATAACAGCAATACATCTCTACTACATGGGTAAATATCTTTAGGCATAAGACAGTGCTGTGGGAGTTAGCTGTTTAACAAAGTGATGGCATAGGGAGAAAGACTATCTTTGTGTCTAGTTGTTTTGACATGCAATGCCCTGTAGTGGAGTCCTGAGGGGGGGAAGTTCATATCCAGGTCTGTTGATATTTTCACAGCCCTCTTTCTGGTTCATGAATTATACAGGTACACAATGGAAGGCATGCTGGTTGCAATTGTTTTTTGTGCAGTCCTAACAATCCGTTGAAGTCTGTATCTGTCCTGTTTGGTTGCTGTGCCAAACTAGACAATTATAGAAAAGCAAATGACAGACTCAGTCAAATGTAATACTTTTTATTAGCTGTCCTGATTTCAGAGCTTCCCCTCCTTTGTTTGGCTGTTCCTGAAAAGGCTTGATTCAGTCTATGAGGAAAACTTAATTAGCATTGCTTTGAACCATTGTCCCTCAGCTTGTCTGTTTGTAAACATACATGGCTATTATTTTACAGAAGATAATCCCAGGCAACTTATGGTCTGATGCCCAAATAATTTTTTAAAAATTAAATGTTCTTTCATTAAAAACATGAAATTATGTAGATTTACTCTTGACAAGTAAGTTAATTAGAAACAGTGCTAACTGACCCAGTGAAAAAGGGCTTTAGCTCTTAGGAGATAGATAAATTTTACTGAGATCATATAAAAGATCTAGTCCCGATAAAGCTGGGAAACTACCATATAGTAATGAAATGATACAGAATGAAATGTTTAATCTACTCTCTGACTGCTCAGGAATTGGGAAGACCTAGGGAGAGATATTTTGAATCCTTGCTCAGCCATTGATTGGCCTTGGAGAGTTATGTGGATTAATGCTATCCATCATCTTTGCTATACAGTATGCATAAGCTGCCTCATTGTTGCTTTCAAGAATGTAGCATGCATTATGTTTCAATATTGATTTGGCTTTTCCTATCTATCTAATCTTATCTATCTATCATCTATCTATCATCTATCTATCTATCTATCTATCTATCTATCTATCTATCTATCTATCTATCTATCTATCTATCATCTATCTATCTATCTATCTATCTATCTATCTATCTATCTATCTATCTATCTATCTATCTATCTATCTTTGCTATACAGTATGCATGAGCTGCCTTATTGTTGCTTTCAAGAATGTAGCATGCATTATCTTTCAATATTGATTTGACTTTTCCTATCTATTTAATCCTATCTATCTGTCTGTCTGTCTGTCTGTCTGTCTGTCTGTCTGTCTCTCTCATTTATTTCATTCCCACTCATCCCCCCCCCCCCCAAGAAGCAGCCATAAGCACTGTGCAAAACTTTTTCACTGAAAACCAAAGCCTTCCCTTGAAACTGAATTAAGACAGAATAGTCCCCTATGTGGTAGGGGACTATTCTGCTAATCATGCTCTCCTGTCTGCAGTCCTGCATCAGGAGTGTGTTATAAGAATAAAAAAGGGTATAAACTCATGAACATCAACACTGGAGGAAAAGTGAACTCTGTAATACATAAACATGTTTATACAAATAGAATTAAAATATTGAAAGGAGCTGTTTTGTCACATATATGTCACATATAGAAGGGATGGATGGACGGACAGATGATGATGGATGTTCTTTTTTGTTCTTTTCTTTGTAGACTCTAGATGGCAGTGTCACTTTAGCAACCGTCCAGATAAATCAACAGAGGGTAGGAAGAATAAACTGATAGCCACCAGTTGCGGTGCCCTATTGTTGGAATCCATCAAAATACTTCACAAAGAATGAACAGGGGCAGCCTGGTGTGGTGAATATGATTCCTCCCCCCAGGTCCCCTTGCCCTGTCAATCTTGTTCCTTTTTCTCTTCATGGGAAAGAGATGGACACCATCTTCAGCCACTGCTATACAGGCAGGTCCCCATAGCTATTAAGAGAGGTGGGGAAGCTGCTTAGGTTTTGAGCACAGGTTTCATACTCTTTCAAAATGCTGCACTTTCATGCAGTTTTGAAAAAGGATTACACCTAAATTAAAATAGGCCCATCCACCACTTGCTCAGCAGGTTTGGGAAGCTGGTGCAATAAAGTGAGAGAACTATCTCTCTCAAAATTTCCTCTCTCAGCATGGAGCCAGGTTTTTTAAGGCAGCCAGCTCTCCATTTTACCATGTTACTACACCTTTCTGCCCAATTGCTATTTGGCAATCATCTTTTCAACCAGCATTAAACCCGAGGTAAAGCAAGGGAAATCATTCTCTCAAAACATGGCAACCTGTGTGAGTTGGCCCTCTCACCACACTCACTTTATTGTGCAGCTTTGCCACCCATCAGAGAGCTGGTGGGATTTCAATCATAGAGAATGTTGATAGAGGCAATCATCCATTTTTATGAATGCAGTAAAGGGAGATTTAGAACCTATTAGAACACATGACAAGCATTGGCTCAATTGGAGGGGCAGTCCTTTCTCAGCAAAATAGCCAATCCGCTGCCGAGGTTAGCCTGCAAAAAAATCTGAAATGCGATACCTATTAGAGATAGAGTTAGAAGAAGAAATAGTGAAGGGGCCAATGATAGCGTGGACACGAAATGTGGGGCGAAATATAAATTTAGAGGAATGGGAAAGATTATGGAACAGAAATTGCAAATTGACGCTATCAACTGCATATAGAGAGAATCAATATAAAATGATTTACAGATGGCATTTAACACCGGCGAGATTGGCCAAAATGTATAAAAACATAGACCCGAAGTGTTGGAAATGTAAAATTAAAGAAGGAACNATTAAAAGACAAGGAGACGTCAGAATTTTATGAAATTTGGAATAAATGTTATAATTGGCTAGAACAGAGAAAGAAAAAGACATAATTATTGATGTACATAAAATGTAAATAAGATGTAAAGAATATTTAAAATGTAAAGCACTGTTCTGTTAGAAGAAAAGATTTATGTTTATGTAGTTTTTGGTGTATGGTGTATGGTAAAAAAAAAAAAAAAAATTAAAAAAAAAATCTGAAATGCATTATCCCAAATGCAAAGGAGCACTCAACTCAGAGTGCAATTCAGAAATGGAAGACAGAAATGCACTCTGAGGTCCATTACCTAACAGTGCCAGTTAATGATCGCCATGTGCTTAAATGAGGCAATGACTCTTAATCTTTGGACCACTGATGAGAACATTAGAAAACCAATGAAAGGTTGCCTTTCTTGGTAAATTGTAATAAATTACAACACTATGTCAACATTTAAAATATGGTACATTTGTTCAAAACTTGAAATAATGAAAGGGAACAAGTACAATTCTAGCAGTTTTTAACTTGTTCCACCTGTGGCTACATCAATTAAATACAGCAGAGATGTCACATTTCACAGTATTAACGCAAGTTAATGATAGTTACGATTATGAGGATCATCATGCTGGAGCCCTAGAAAGGGTGCAGAAAAGAACAACAGAGGATAAGGAGTCTAGAGGCTAAATCTTACAATGAACTAGGGAACTAGGTATATTTAGCTTAATGTAAAGAAGGCTCTGAGGGGCTGTCACAGGGAAGACTTATTTTCCATAGCACCTGGAAGCAGGACAAGCTCTTCAGAGGGAAATTCAACCTGGAGATGAGTGAGAAGGATTAATCAAAGGAACAGCTTATCTTGCAGAGTTGTGGGTACTCCATCGCTGGAGGTTTTGAAGAATAGATTGGACAACCATTTGTCCAGGTTGATATAAGGACTCCTGCCTTGAGCAGGGTTGGACTAGAAGATCCACAAGGTTCCTTCCAGCCCTAAGATTCTATGAATTATTATTGCTTTTTAATTATTTATTTTTAATTTAATAATTTTAAAAGACCCATCTTTAAAGTATAAGCAAAATTATTTTATTGAAAGAGTTGAGCTTCCATAGATAATTATTTCTGCTTATAGAACTGTGAATTACAAACTAAAGAATACTAAGTGGGTTCTTCAAAGAAAAGAAATGAAACTGGGGAGAAAGGGCACCTGGGCAAATGAGCGCTTTTTGGCATCTGCTGGGGCAGCTGAGGCTTTCTGGGTCATGGCAAGCAGTCTCGCAGCCATGCAGCTCTGGGACTGTTTGTCACCTTACAAGGCAGGCGGACAAGGGGCCTAAAGGCAGTGATGGGGGGAAAATAGGTGAATGGGGGAGTTGGAGACAGTTCCTTATCTTACTGAGGTTCGGGGCTGGGAGGGACAAAGTCTAGAATGGCTTGGACTGAAATGGGTACCTGCAATTCTTGGTTAATGACCACAACAAAGAATGATTGGATTGCTGCTGTAAGGTGGTATAATCACATGATGTCTCACTTTATGATGTACCAATTTAAAATGGCAAGCCCAGTCCCAATTGTGGTCTTAAGTTGAGGAATACCTGTACTATTTTATGCAAACAAATTGTGGACCAGTTCATCCAACAATAGCCTTGAAAAAGGGACAGAAATGAACAAGACTTCCTAAACTTGCACAAAAGGGAGAAAACATATAGGGGTCTACCAAGCAGTTAAAAGGGGGAACAATAATCGCTGAGAAATCCAGCATATTTTACAGGTGACTTCTGTGAAGAAATTGGCTGTCCATCCTCTCCCTCAATGGATTACTGTACATTCAGGTTTCACTGTTTTCAAGGAGGATCTATCTCACAGTTTAAAACCCAGTAGACCTACTGACTCTTGAACTAAACCAACATAAATCTATGCATAGGTCTAGTTGGCCAGTCCTGGCAGTTCTCATATAAGCAATCTTCTTCCTTGTTTTCCTTTCCTTTAGTATTCCAACTGTAGAGTCTTCTCCTGTCCTCCATTCTTTTCTCCTTTCCCAGGCAAAGCATCCACAATCCTATCCAGTGCTTGTAAGTTCAGGGAATACATCTAAAATTAATAGTGGTAAAAGAAATTGTAGTTACATCCTGTCTTCTGTTTTAGTAACAACTTTATCAATTGTTTTTTGGGGAAAATGGCTGATCACAAAGAAACCCTATTATGTTCACATTATTTGGGGATGAGAAGAGAGCTTCTTCTGGGGCTAAAGATATTACTGAAGTGCCACAGTGCTCACACAACCTGATCACATTCACCCCACTGGGTAATTGAGTTGGTAGTGGATGGTCAAAAGGGAAGGATCTCGGCCTCAGAGGAGAAGGATTTTAATCAAATTGTACCCCAATGATTTGGATTCCCACTGATTTTGGAAAGAAAAAAACATAGGCAAGAACAGCAAAAAAAAAAGGGTGGTGGATTATGACTTACCCTTCGTCTCAGGTAGACCACGGCTATGATGGAGAGTAAGACAATAAGAAAAAATAGTAACAGGCCAAATATTTTCTCAGTTGGTACAGGGGGCAAGCTGGCAAGCTGGGCACTGGCTGCAAGACAAAATTATACTAAATAAAGCCAGAATGGGGGAAAGAATCAGAGGATCAAAAATGATAAACTCAAAAATCCATCTTTAGCTTAGCACGTGTATATTCTATCACATAGAAAATCAATTATCTGGTCTCAATTATCTGTAGCAAAATGGCAGCTTCTGGATGAGATGTAAACAATGCCATTCAGAACTGAATCACAACATATTGTAGTAAATAAATTAGGATTATACTGGTGAGAACAAAAATATTTTTTTAATTTGATGGGAGCAGTCACAATGTTTGGTTGGATGAAACAATAAAATACAGAAGTAATTGGGACGCACCATATATATCAAGATAAAAGTTGTGTCCCATTTACTTAGCAATAGATCTAAACTGCATAGGAATTGGACTTTTTGCTTTTGTGGCTCCTGGTACAAATAAGGTACAAATAGCTTTAAGCGTCTACCTTGTAATCTAAGAGAATAAGGTAGAAATCTCAGTCACAGCCACTTGAGTAGCTTTAGCACCATTGCTGTGCTCTTTGATACCCTCAAATGCAAACTGGGGTCCTTTGATCACTAAAGGCTGCCTAGAGGACTAAGTCATTTTGGAACAGTGAGTGAATTGGTTAAAATCAGTTATCTGGATGCTGGTATCTTTTAGATCTGCTTTGCTTGCCTTTGAATGTGGAGAGACAGATTAATTCTTCTGGGCCTCTCCAAAGCTTTCAGTCCCTTTAATCACTGTAATTTTCTGAGTAGACTGTCTGAATTTTATGACACCACCATTCCAATCTAGAAGACCATAGCTTTACTCTGAGGCACCACAAGGTTTAGCCTATCTCTGCTTTTCAATCTCTACATAAAATTTTTGAGTGAGATCATCCAGAGACTTGAAGTGATACGCAATTAATAACCAGATGCCAACTATTCCTTCTTCTTAAATTGAATGCAAGGGAGACAAGTTATAAAAACTGTCTTGAGCAGTTAATAGACTGTTTTAACAAACTATGGGTTGAACACAGTACACTGGAGATCTCAGTGAGTAATTAATCTGCTGAATAAATTGTGTTCAACCTACTTGGGACAATACTATAGGTCCCAAGTTGCTGTTTGGGCCTGTTGTTGGAAAGTCAGATTGTGTGTCATTCCCCCAAATAAAAAGAAAGGCTTCATTGGGGTTTGACTTGGACAAGAAGTAAATGGATTGCCTAATTTAATGTCATTGTCATCTATAATCTCACGCCAGTAGATGCTGCTGAATCACAACCAATAGCTTTAGCCAGGCTGGCCAAGGGTGAAGATCCGTGTAATTCAGTACCTTTGACGGCAGGGATTTTTTTTTTTAATCTGGAGCTCCAATTTCTTAGACGAGGAATTATTCCCCCCCCCATGCCCGCCTAAAAAGAAAATGAGCTCTGGATCTCTCTCCTCCGCCTTCGCACAGGGGCTTTGTTCTCCCAAAGCCCAAGCATGAAACGTGTGAAGGGAAATAAACAAACAGCATTGCTCTTTAGTTCCTCTTCCCGGCTCTCCTTTGTTCAGGGGGAGAGGAAAGAGGGTCGAAGAAAGCCAGCAGCCCGTGCAATTTACACCGGCCCTGGCCTAGGTTGGAATGCGCCGGGGCCCACCCAGCGCTGGGGTAATGCTTCAGCCTGTTGCCCCATCCTGGCCCCACTTCGCTCCTCCCTTTGGGGCAAGCAGGGAGGGAAGCTGCCGCCGTTGCTGCCGCCCCTCTCAGCCACGGCATCCGCGGTTCCCGCAAGCTGAAAGAGCCGGGTGGGGCTGTGGCGGCAGCGGCGCTGGGCGCATTTCCTCCCTCTCTCTTCTCCCCCCCACCGGCGGCTGGGCGCATAAGCAGAGCCGAGGGCCGCCGCCGCCACCGGGTAGCCTGGCTCGCCCTCCTTAGTCACTTGCTGCGGCGATGGCTTCGCCTGACCGGGTTCGGGGAAAAGCCTCAGAGCTTTGTTTCGGAGAAAGGTTGCGAACGAGCAACGGGGGCGAGAGCGAGGAAGTGCGCGGGATAGCGGGATGACGTCAGCGGCTCATGGCTGGAACCCGTCCAGGTCACGTTCCCCTTTGAAGAAGCGCCTGCCAGCCCAACAAAACGTTTTAAGTCTTGCGGTAGAATTGCTCTGTGGAGTCAGGGGTAGCCCTGCCCTCATTTTGTCTAGGTCAGACTATTGCAGGACGTTAGATCTGACCTTCTCCTTCTGTGTGTGTGTGTGTGATCTGGAAACTCTGCTAATTCAAAAGTAGCCCGGTTCGCCTTCTAAGCCCGTGTCACTTGCACCTTTCTGTGGTTTCTGAACTTCATAGGAAGTCTTTCAATCTTTTTGCTATCTGAATTAGGGCAGCTGGTGAAGGGTGGTGGTGGAGGTTACTTTTGAATGCTATTCCCAAACAACTTCTTGGAATGCATTCTGATACCAGAAGAAGTTTCTATTTTCTCCAAGGTTCTTTTGATCTGTTTTATCCTGGCTCTTATACTAATATGCTGAAGTTTTTACCGTTTTTTTTCTTGTTAACCATAAGAATGTGAACTGTTGTGTTCCATGTAATTTAGGGTGAAATATACATGTCAGCAGTTAAAGAAACAAAGAATACCTGCAATTTCCAGGTGATACTGCACAGATCCTAGCTTCCCCTCTGGACCATGGGCGCTGCATTCCCAGGTACCTGCATCCCTTGATGACACCTGGTGGAATTCTTGGATTGGGCCCCATTTCACAGGCCTACTAGAAGCAGACTGAGAGCTGTTGCTGGATTCCAAGTCCAGCCACTTCCACTGAAAATGCTCTTTTCCTGTGTAGTAGCTGAGGTTACAGATGAGGACCAAGTGAGAACCTTCAGGAATTCTTGGCTCAACAGTGCTGGTAAGGACTGAAGGGAAAGCAAGGGAACAAAAATCACCAATGCCCGGTCCCTCTCACCTTCCTCCTACAGCACTAAGTTAAATTAATCAAATTGCAACACTGAGACCTGAATATATATAAAACATATTATTATTATTATTATTATTATTATTATTATTATTATTATTATTATTATTATTATTATTATTATCATACTCAACAACCCTAAGTAGGATTGAGGAGGAATGACTGGTCTAAAATCACAAAATGAGATTCTATAACTAAGGATAGATTTGAACCTGGGTCTCTTCAGTCCTAGCCCAACTTCATAGCTACTACACTATACTGGCTGTCTGGATTTAATTTCAGGTTGTTCACCCTCTCCAGTTTAATATCATTTTCTTCCTTCAGTTGATAATATAGAGTAGCAGTATGATGGGTGTCATCAGCATACTGGCGAAACTTTCCTTCAAAACCCTAGATCAGGGGTAGTCAACCTTGGCTCTTTTATGACTCGTGGACTTCAATTCCCAGAATTCCTGAGCCAGCTAAGCTGGCTCAGGAATTCTGGGAGTTAAAGTCCACGAGTCATAAAAGAGCCAAGGTTGACTACCCCTGCCCTAGATGATACCATGAACCTTCCCAATAATATCATGAGCATTTTCAATAACCTGGGAGGCAAGTGGAAACCCTGTGGGATCCATTCATCCATTTATGAATGACCATTATTTTGATGTCTGTAATTCTCTTTAATTTACTATTATATTGCTCAACATTTTCTTCCTTCCTAGCATTTTTCTTGCAAGTGCAGGACCTGGTTTTTTTTTTTTTTAACCAACTGAGCATTGATTAAAAGAAGGAGCCCTGATGGTGCAGTGCTTAGAATGCAGAATTGCAGGCTAACAGTCTGCCCACAGTCTGGAGTTTGATCCTGATGGGCCTTGAGGTTGACTCAACCTTCCATCCTTCCGAGGTCAGGAAAATGAGGACCCAGCGAGTGCTGTAAAGCACTGTGTGGTGGTATATAAGTCTAAGTGCTACTGCTATTGCTATGCATTGGTTGTGCAAGAAATTGAATGATTGGTTTGTCACCTAAGCCTGACTGGCTGAGAACGAATGACCGGCCCAAAGTCACCCAGATCACTTTCATGCCTAAAGCAGGACTAGAACTCACAGTCTCCTGGAGATTTCTTTCTCAAGTCCTTCCCAGAAGCAGAAAAAAAATCAAGCCAGGCAGCTTTTAACAAATAGTAACGTTTCTAGAAAAAGTGACTAGAAACTGCCTACGAGGAATCATAGCTAGTAACATCTACAGTATTGAAAGCTCTGAGTGCAGATATAAGGCAAGAATTTAGAAGACTGGGAAAACAGCCCAGCGTCACACCTGCCTACCACCAGTCTCAATACCACCAAATATGACTCAGAGTTTCCATTCAATGTGGCTGAGTCTCAGATAAATAATCATAAAATATCAGCTTTGAAAAAATTTTCCCCATTGAATTGTGTCTGATTCTCAGAAATTGTCTGGACAAGTCCCTGCAGTTTTCTTTGTAAGGTTTGCCATTGCCTCTTTCCTAGGGCTGAGACAAAATGATTGGCCCATAGTCACCCTGCCAGCTTCTGCCCAAGGTAGGATTAGAACTCACAATCTCTGTATTTCTAGCTTGATTTCTAGCTACACCAGTCTGGCTCTCAGATAAGCAATACAAGCATTTCAAAAATTTAAGAGAAGCACTTTGCTATATAATTCTGGAGCAGGGGTTTTTCAGGTGGAGTCTGTGGATAGATTTCAGGAGATCTATGGATTTGGATGTGAAAAAATATAACTGTATTTTCACTAATCTTCAACTAAATTTTAGTTTGTCGTGTCATAATGTATGTAGGCAACAAAATAATGTATTGCCCATAGACTCCAAAAATGTTTAACTTCAATAAATCCAACTATCTAAAATGATTAGTCCTTAAAAGAAAATATTGCCATGTTGTTCATTTAATGGATTAATAAAGGATATATGTTGCTATATTATTATATATCTGTTGTTTTTTAATCTTCTGATACCTGCATTTGGGCATAATTCGTTTGCCTCCATAACTATATATTTTTAATTTATGCATTAAAATACATCTTTCTGAAAAGGACTCTGTAGGTTTCACCCAACTCTCAGAAAAGTCCATGAGAGAAAAATGTGAAGAGTTTTGTTCTACAGCTGTTCTGACTGAGTTTAAATCTACAAGTCTTTTGATCTGCTTACCCCAGCTATTACTCTCTGGATACATTGGTCATTAGTTTCATCTTTCCAGATAGCCTGGCCAATAGCTGGGAATGATAGGAGTTGCAATTGAATACACCTAGGAGACATCCCATTCAATTATCCTGAAGAGGTAAGTATTTTAGTGGCCCATAATCCCTCCTCATAAGATAAATGGGCTACCAGTTCAAATTTCTTTTGTGGTGCTGGGAGGTAGGAAGGATTATGTTCCCTCAACTTTCAGGGGAAATCCCTTAAGAGAAGAATGGGCTTGCTACAGGTTTGTTCCTCACCTGTCATCACTGCCAGGGTGACATTCTTAATTATAGTAACGCCTTGGATGGTGATCTCACAAAGATATTGGCCTGCATCATTTAATCCAACAGCTGGGAGATGAAGAGTGAAATCTTGATGGTTTTCATAACTGGGAGTGGGTTTGGCCTTCAGTTCTCTCCCTGCCATGTATCTCCATTGGATGGCCACCCTTGAAATTCCATAGTTCATGGGATTGGAATTCAGGACACAGGGCAGATAAGCATCAGATCCAGCTGCTGTATAGATGACTGAGGGGGCTTGCTCAGTAAATCCTATAGAGGAGATAGTAAAAATAACAGTGTTCAGCGGTAGGATACCAGAGGGTGCAAAAATGAGCAATAGGTGGAATTCAGCGTACAATGGTCTTTCTGACTCATTCAAGCACTTTAAGAATAAGAGAGATAACCATGTTTTTATTTATGCTGGTTCTCCCCCACCCCTCAAGGGGTGGAAATGTGAGAAAAGGGAAGATGAGATGAAAAGATGGATCTCACCTATAACTTGCAGGTTGTGTCTGGCTGCAATTATCTCCCCATCTGCAAAGGTGAGTTGGCAAACCCAGGGCCCAGTGTCACTACTGACTGATTCCGAGATAAGCAGGGTTTGACCGATAGGATGAAGCCTGTAGGAGATGTGAACAAGGACATCTCTGTGGAACCAGAGGACGTTGGTGGGATTTCCTGGGTGGGTGGAATTGCAGTTCAGCCTGACAGATTCCGACTCAATTAGAGGACGAGAAGGGTGAGCAGTGACTGTTAAGAAAAGGAAAATTGTGTAGTAATATTCATAGAACACTGTGATCCCTAGCCTATGGGACTGTCAATATATTGATTTTCATGCCTTCCTTGTTCAGAAGACTTTCTATTTTTATGATATGGAGGAAGGGAGTGAGAAAAGAAGAGAAATCATGGTTTCTTGAAGCATTCTACCAGCCCAGTTTTGATATTGTTGAATGAATAGCTCTTACAGGGGAAAAATGCTTAAAATAACAAAGTAAGATGGTGGGGACTTTTATGTCCTATGTAGTTTAGTCCAATGGATATTTTTACAAGCATTGGTGTGTAATAGTCTTAGTTACCTTACTGCTTCTATTAAATAGGGGGCATGAATCACTTTGAAATGTTGAATCCCATAGATGCATGCAGTTTCAGAACTGCTCCTTGCTTAGCCATGAATCCAAGCTTTTTAAGGACTCCAGGCCAGCTCCAGATTCAGGCCTTGTCCTTGTGAGAGTCTCCATTGCTCTCTGAGAGGGTTACTTTTATTTTTGAGCAGCTATCCCATCCACCTACCTGACATCAGACCAAGCTCCACTAGGCAGTGCCATTCCTCGTTCCCATATCTCACGTGTGCCTCATAGGTTCCTGCATCTTCCTTCAGCAATGGCTTAATCTGGAGTGAAAAATTGCCCTTAAGAAAGCCAGCGTCCCAGACAGTTGCTCGGCGCATCATGGAATGGGCCAGACTCTTAAGCCCACTGGGCTTCACCTTGAGCACCAAATGACGCTTCATGGAAGAACTGGTCACAAAGAAAAAATTGTGTTGAATGAATAGCTGGTAGCACGTAAAAGGAAAATGGGAAAAGGAAAAAGTGGAAAACAAAATAGAAGTGCCACTGACCCACTCCCCCCCCATTCCAAATTAGATAAAACTGGGTCATTCTGTCTTACCTGCCTCTGTGCCGCACCCAGAGAACCTCTAATCCTTTGTACAGGTGCCTCAAGTTGTCCTTCGCCATCTGGGGACTCAGGTAGCAAGGAAGAATCACATGTGTGCCTTCCTCACCCCACACCCTGTACTTCTCTCCTGTTAAACAAAGCGTATTTCTGGCTACATAAAAAATATTGATCCAATGCAAAACAAAAGATGTTTACGAAAATAGCTCAGCTCTGAGCCCAAACAGGATAAAGGAGTCTGAAAGAAGACTTGGAAGGAGAGAAGCTGTGGCTTTAAAACATGGAAGACAGCTAGAGAATAGCATATAAGGCAACAAGGGCTCAAATGCAAAGAACTGATACAAAATAATTCATGCAGATTTTCTTTCCCCCACCCGCCTGGTAAAGAAAGAAAACTACCTGCCCTATCTTACCATTGGTCATCGGCAGAATGAGAACGAGAGTGCAGAAAAGCAGGACTAGAGTCATCTTGGCCTCGGAGAGAAAGGTGAGTCCTCCAGCCCCCTCAACACTTTGCCAATTGGCCTGGCTCCGAATGGGGGAGGATTGACCTGGTTTACCCAAGAGATTCAGACTAAGGTAGGAAAGGTGAATTTCTGATCAAAGAAGATTAAAGGTTGCTCTTATATTGCAGATGGGCTATTGATTTCCTGATTGCATTGAAGTGAACGTCACAGCCGAGAAATTAGCCCCATTATTTTTTTTTTAAAAAAAAGCAAAAACATGTGCAGGAAGGCAGAATGGTTCTGAAAGTACTCTTCAATGGAAACTGTTTCTTTCTTATTCTCTATACTGGTAATGACCACAATAACATTTTTTTTTCTTTCTCTTTCAGTCCACTCACTCATTAACTATTGTTTTTGCTTGCAGTGGAAAGTATAAAAGGGCTAATTTCTCAGGAAGTACCCTTAGTGTGTTTTTCTTTGAAGTATTGATATTCTTATCCTTGACTTTCTTTGAAGTAATAAAAATAGTAATATCTGGAAACAGCAGAAGAGGAGAGAAAGAACTGAAGAAAATCACAAAATACAAAGACCTGCACGTAGAAGTAGACTGAGTGTGGCAAAAGAAAGCAAAAATGGCACCAATAGTAACCAGTGCCTTAGGTGCAATCCCAAAAAAACTGGAGCACCCCTTGAAAACAATTAGCATGGACAAAATCACCACCAGTGAATTGCAAAAGGCATCTTTACTCAGAACAGCTCACATCCTGAGGCAATGCCTTTAACACCATCAACCACAACAAAACCTGATTATCCCAAGTTCTCGGGAAGAACTCGATAGGCAAATAAAAATGTCAAATGCAGTCTAAACATCTGGCTGACTGTGACAAATTATAATTCATGATGTTCAAAGTGCTTCATAAGCATAGTTCTTACTTAACACACAAACACAGGCCCCCAAATTTACTTCCCGTAACAAGTGGCAAATGGAGTCCCTCCAATGGAAGTAGCCAAGGACCCTTAAGGGTTTACAAAATTGGTTTCAAAGGAACATTTGATTTAAGGCTGGTAGATAAACAAGCATAGTCTTACTAGCTCACCTACAAATTTTCCTCAAAGCCAAAGAAGAAGCTGGATCCAGAAAAAAAAGTTGATATTTTTCATAAGAGTTATACATTATCACAAGGAATTCATTGCATTGATCCTACTTTGGTGGAGCAGGGCTCAGAAGGAATGGCCAGGAAATAACTGTGTTAATGCCACCTCTTCCTAGCCCAGGCTACTTTTGCCCAGTGACAGGATAACCCTGTGTCATTAACCAATTTATCAAAACTTGTGCATTTGTTCATTGTGCAAACATGATCGAACATTCAGAGAATTATTGCTTAAAAAGGAGTTTATTTCCTGGGTATTTTGGAATGTGTATCAGAGAGGGGGAACTTATTGTATACAAATACTTACAGGGTCTTCTTATTTCTTTTTCTTTTTTCCTTAACAATATGCTTATTAAATTTTGCAGGGCCACCAGCATCTATGTTGTTCGTGAGCCATGAAGGCCAAATGCTAACACTGATCTGGAGAGGGAAAGGAACTATATATTTACTTTGGCCATTTGTTTAAACAATGCTGTTTACAATGATGTTCATAGGAAATATTTGAGCCTTATGAGGAGGCCCCCTAGGCCATTCCCAGAAAAGAAAACTGAAAACAGAAATCAAGAATAGAGGAGTTTGTATATTATCAGAAAATTGTTGCTAGGGTAAATTCTCTGAACTGCCTGTGGGATGAATAATAGGCTGGAATGTTTATGGTGCAAGGAAAGAAAGACAGAAGGAGGAAGGAGATTTGAAGGGAAGTTCTATTCTATTCTATTCTATTCTGTTCTGTTCTGTTCTGTTCTATTCTATTCTATTCTATTCTTTAATTTGAATGTGAGTTGAACTTTCTATATAATTATGGATTTTGCCTTATCAGAGCCTGAGGAGGTGGATGATGCCAGTGTGTATGGTGTCATTCCTTTACTTAGATGTTCTAAAATGCCTAGGGAAGGCTGTAGATGTACAGCCAAACTAAAAATGATTTAACATTGTCATAGGGTAAATTTCTGTTGTTTTATAACATAATTGAGAAGATTGCTTAGTTTTGAAGTTTCATTTGCCTGGCCTCGGAGATCAAGACGTACATGGTGCACCTCCCTCGTCTTTTGTCTCACAATCATTTAGAATCAGTTGAAAAAGGATAAGCTTCCAAAGTCATCTTTGGAAGTCAAACTTCAAAGTCAAAGTCAACTTTGGCTAGGTTGACGTGATAGCAGTGTTCCAGTATCTCAGGAGTTGTCACAAAGAAGAGGGAGTCAAGCTATTTTCCAAAGCACCTGAAGGCAGGACAAGAAGCAATGGAGAGAAGCAACCTAGAACTAAGAAGAAATTTCCTGACAGTTAGAACAATTAACCAGTGGAACAACTTTCCTCCAGAAGTTGTGAATGCTCCAAAACTGGACGTTTTTAAGAAGAGATTGAACAACTATTTGTCTGAAATGGTATAAGGTTTCCTGCCTGGACAGGGAGTTGGACTAGAAGACCTCCAAGGTCCCTTCCAACTCTGTTGTTCTATTCTACTGAAGAAATGGTGCCTGAATGGGAAACACCAAGAAATCCCATACTGTAGTTATAAAGTAGACTGTGAACTAAAAAAAAAAGTATCTTGATGATGAAAGGAATGGTAAATTATTTTCATAATGCTACCATGGAAGTAATATGGTTATATCAATAAAGCCACTAGGTATAGCTTGTCTTGGAAACCTTATCATTACATAATCCCTGATCCAAGTCTGGAACTCTAATGATCACTTTCAACAGCCTTGAATAAACAGTAGTTGTTCTTGTTTTCTTCTGGTATTTGTCTACCTGTAATTCTTGCATTTCTTCAGTCTATTCAACAAGAAGGAAGATGTTTAAGCTGAAAACAACAACAACCCAGTTTTTGGAATTTGCAAAAAAAACAAAGAGCTGTTTTTTTATACAAAGTATTCTTTCAGATGATAGGTAAGTCTGTTTTAGGCATTTGTAAAAGTGCTACTATTATTCATGAGTAATTTGGAATTCGTAGTGTTTGTTTTGAATATGTGAAAGAGGTAAATGGTAACTTATTTTCCACTGACTTTAGGTGCCAAAACATTGTTTAGCAATTTTCCATCCTCATAGGATGTGTTTGTTGTTTACCTTAATAGAGAGTTTTCTCTGAGTTCTGCTTTAACAATAACATGCTTCGGCTGAATAACTCTTCCAGAGTTCTCAGAGACCAGCTTCTGACATTGCATGTTGCCTTAGGAGGTTCAGAAGAGAGTTGCTACTCAGCAATGGGAATGTGGCATTTAATAACCCCACTGGGTCTTGACCATTTCTAAACCCATTAAAAATGTTACTACTATCCTTTGTAGTCTGTAGCCAGGGAACTAATAGACTTAGGGGGTAAAGTAACATTTGGAGGCTCCCGAGTTTCCAGCTGTACTTGAATTAAATTTATAAATAAAGCATTCAGATCTCTATATCTGAAGAATCAGCACTTTTTATGAATAAAAATCTTGATTCTTCCAGTAATTGCCAGAGGCTTTCCTTCATGTGCCCCAGACTTGTGAAGTGAAGAGAAGCTGGTAAGAACAATTGACCAAGTGTTGCATCTCAAACATGAAATGACCCACTCATGAGGAAACTTCATCCGGAATATTTTACTTACCGTACTATATTTTTAATCCATTCACAATCAGAATTTTAAATAAATCTTTTTGGTTTCCATCAAATATTTTGTTCTTTTCTTCAGCCTTCCCAGGCAACATTTTCTGGGTGATTTATTTTATTCTAGCTTTTTAATTTGATGTTTGCCTGGGTTATCTTATGACTATTGTTTATCTTATATGAATATTTTTGTATTTTTCTGTGAACAATTTGTGTGACTTGGTATCCATTCGTGCAATGGGACCGCTCTTTTCTCTTCTCTGATTGTCCTTGCATTTGTAGTGCTTCCAGGAATGTTACCCAAACCTCTGGAGAAGGTTTGGGTAGATGGCCAGATTTGTAGAAGGGCCAGTGTTGAAGTCTCCATGAAAAGTTAACATGCAGTAGAGATCAATATCTGTGGGTACATCTGGTCATGTCTTCAGTTATAGATAGTCCTCGACTTACAACCACAATTGAGCCCAAAATTAAAGTTACTAAGTGAGACATTTGTTAAGTGAGTTTTGCCCCATTTTACAACCTTTCTTGTCACTGTTGTTAAGTGAATTATTGTAGTTGTTAATAATATGGTTGTTAAATGAATCTGGCTTCCCCATTGACTTTGCTCATCCGAAGATCACAAAAAGTGATCACATGGCCCCTGGATATTGTCATAAATATAAGCCAGTTGCCAAGCATCTGAATTTTGATCATGTGACCATGGGGATGCTGCAACAGATGTAAGTGTGAAAAATTATCATAAATCACTTTTTTCAGTGTCGTCATAACTTCAAATAGTCACTAAACAAACTGTTGTAAGTTGGAGACTAGCTGTATTAAAGATGTCAGTTTGAAACTATGGGCAAAGCAATAAATAATGAATGAAATTAAGCAAGAAAATAACAATAGCAATAGTACTTAGACTTATATACCACTTCACAGTGCTTTACAGCACTTAGACTTATATACCACTTCACAGTCCTTTACAGCCCTCTCTAAGCGGTTTACAGCATATGGCTCCCAACAATCTGGATCCTCATTTTACCGACCTCGGAAGGATGGAAGGCTGAGTCAACCTTGAGCCAGTCAATATCAAACTGCTGGCGGTAGGCAGAGTTAGCCTGCAATACTGCATTCTAACACTGTGCCACTACGATTAGATATGTTGGTTGTCTTTGAAACTAAGAAAGGGAAAGGATGTAATAGATTAAGTACTTTAAAGAAGAAAAAGTAGTATATAAAGATGCATATGAATATGGTAGAAACAAAGTTCACTTACAAGAATAAAAAGATAAAGTGAAGTGAGAAGTGAAGTGTTGGTATAATCTAGATCTTGCTATCTTACCTTTTAATTTATTTTGCATTTCGTTTCTTCTTTTCTGCACTTTGCCCAAGATCACTTGCCCCAAGTAGGAATAGCATAGCAGGATCAGTATGTATATGTGTAAAAATTGCAACCATTGGTTCAAAATCAGAGAAAGGCTTATATTTAAAGCATTACCTATCTACAGACATATGCAGACCTCCAAACTAATTGTCAGTTCTGCCATCTTCAGCTTGGTGCCTTGCCGGCATCCTGTTATCAAAAGTTAGGGGGGAGGGGGAATGGGGGACAAATGGACAATAAACCCGTATGAAGATGCGATGGGAAATAGGGAGGGGTGAATGACAGCTTGATGAAGACCAGAGAGGCATGGAACCAGTTTGTGCCAGTCTTCAAGGCTATGCATCCTGAGAGTGGAATGTGAATTGCCCCAAGCATCTCAGCGATTCTCAAAACAGCAGCTTTCCATTGGCTGAAGACAAACTGGTCAAGGGTGGAAAGGCTGGGATGAGGGGGAAAAATTGTAACCTTTCGCATGGGAATCTTAGTTCTAGCCTGACTTTACTGCAACCAACAACCTTTAGTAAAAGAACCTATCACTTCAACCAAATGGAGTTGAGGATCTGTCTTTCCTAAGGGACCTGATGGGGGCAGGTCTGACACTAATTGTTCTACATATTAAGACAAATGAATGAAAAACAGTGTTGAAATATAGTGGGGATAAAATGAGTCTCAGAGGAAGGCTACCATTCCTTTCCATCCATTGGGAGAATGCATCCCACTTCATGCCAGCAGTCAGTCTTCCAGAAAATGCAGCTGGGGTCCCAGAAATAACATCAATCTTGGTGACACTCTCTGAGGCGATCATTCACTTGGTGTGTTTTTCTTTCCATTTCAAGTAATTTCCGTGCCAGAAAAGAGAAACAGAATACTCTAAACTCCTATCTAGTGGTTGTCTGGATTTTACAAGTCAGATATGATAACTCTGGGCAGTAGGAAAAAAGGTCTAATAGTGAGAAGTTGTCAGGTGCAATGAATCAGGAATCAGAATAGAGTTCAAAAGTACTAAAAGTTTATTTCAGATTATTCTACCTACAAGAATCTGATCTACTAATGGTCAAGGCGAATTGGCACCAACAGACTTCAAGGGGAGGGGGTGGACTTAGGTTTCTTACAGGGACATAGAGACACCAAACTAATGATGCATCTGACCTTGCCCTTGGGCTCAGCCTGGTCATCTCCTACAGAAGGAAGAGGGAATGGGGATGATGATAAGCAAAGTTGTTGGAAAAAGCTGACCAAAGTCTTGGCATATTCTTTAACACTACAGTAACATCTTTAACATTTAACACTATCCCAAGAGAATCACTTTAATGTAGTGGTTCGGATGTCCTTGGACTAGTTTCTCTCTCTCTCAGGAAAGTCTACTTGCTTATAAATTCTATTCCATTATAATAAAAAATGAATTTAGTAGCAGAGCAGGAACAGAAAACAGAGTTCAGGCATTGTAGTCTTTTTTCTTTGGAGTGCAAGTTTGACCATTTCTTTTTATAATAAAGCAGACCAAATAAACCTGCCCAAGAAAAATGAAATTGTAAGTGGGTATAACATATAATTTGACATTAGAAGGTTGATTAATCACATATATGTCCTTAACTTGATAGTTACCACACCCACAAACGCACTACTGTATATAGTGTTTTTCTCAGTAGAAGTTCAGATTGTCAGATATACGTAGAGAAATCTTCCTTAAACAATGAAGTAATCATTTGCATTGCTATGATGTCTGAAAGTTAAATATTGTCAGAGTGAAGAGTTGCTGTAAAAATGTGCTTGGAAGGAAAACAAAAGATTTTATATCTTGGATTGATTGATGTGCATGCATGCATGCATATCTTCAGGTCAGGTTTTGATTCCTGGGGACTGCCTGGACAAGTCCCTGACATTTTCTTGGCAAAACTTTTCAGAAGTGGTTTGTCCTTGCCTGCTTCCCTTCATTGGCTGAGAGATAGGAACTGTCCCAAAGTCACTCAACTGGTTTCGTGTCTAAGGTGAGACTTAGAATTAATGGTGTCCTGGTTTCTAACCCAATGCTTTAAACCCCTGTGCCAAATTGGCTCTCCAGGAAATTACATGTTCCCAAATTATTTCCAGACAGATAGCAATAAAAACCAGAATATAAGAAATGTTTTATGGCATAAGACAGCTCTCCTCAAGGTGGTAACCTCCACATTTGTTGGAATTCAACTCTCAAATCCCCAGCTAGACAAGAGTTCAACACATCTAGATGACTTTCAATCATAAAATTGAAATGGGTCCATTTAAGGCCATTGAATCCAACCTCCTGCTGAGTAAAAGAATCCAGATTAATCTTCGGTCTTTGCCAGAACACATCAAGTGAAATTGCTGCAGCTCATGAAAACTGATTTTATTGTCAGACTGCTCCTATGGTTAGCAACGGTTCCTTACTTTTCAGCCAGAATCCACTTTTCTAGAAGACCATTATTTTGCTTTCTATATTCTGGGATAATATAGTCTCTAATTGCTATCATGTCCTGCAATTATTGTTTCAAGGTGTTAGTCTCTCCATTCTTCTGATCATCCTGATAAGCACTCTCGCCATTTCTTCATGTGGAAAATTATCAGTCAGAGGATCAATTCCTTCATACTTTACTGACGTTTGATGGGAACTGTTGGTCAGGTCTCTTAAGAGTACAGCTATGCCATCCACTCTAACTTTAATTAGCTTGCTAAACAAAATGTTTTGTTAAAGTCAGATGTTAAAGACAAGAATGCTGTGTAATGTCCATACCATTCCTACAATCTATACAAGAACATCAAAAGATAAAACAAGATTAGTCTCATAAGGCTATGAAAAGTCCATGCTTACTTACATTAATCACTATTATTGTAAGATTCTTACAGATAGTTTGTTCTATGCTCTGATATAGAATATCCTCTGGTATTGATATCAATCTGGTTGCAATCTAGTTCACGGAATCCTCTTTTTCCCCACTTTTCAAAAATAAGACCATTCTTCCAATTATCTAGCATGTTGCACTTTGTCCAAGATTTCTCAAAGGTAATGGACAGAGATTCAGCTAGTCAACTAGTTTCTTCAGTTTCTGTTTAGCTTCTGACTTCCTAACTCGATGGATATCATTTCACCAGAATTTTATGCAACTGCATCTTTAAGGTCTTATAAACACATGTCATTAAGAATTCTTTGTTTATTTATTAAATGCACATACCGCCAATCTCATGGTTCAAGGCAACTCTGAT